GGATAAAGTTGAGAGATTATTAATAGCGTCCATGCCGAACGGGATATGTGGACAACTGATAAAAGTGACTCATATTGGACGTGGTATGAAGTTGGCTGGAAAAAGTGACATTCATTATCGGACGGGGTGTGGGTACGACCAATAATTAATTATAAAAGAAACATTAAGTATCCATGTGTGAGAGGAACCTCTATGGGGCCCAGGAATACCAGTAGAGAAAAATGATACTAATAGACAAAATAAAAGGTGATTGATTTGATATGTGTGTTGTACTTGAATAAGAATCTTATATGATCAAATAATATTTGTTATTTAAAATGAAAATTTTTTGAATAAGAATCTGATGTGGTTTGATAGTATTGTGAATGCAACGGGTAGTTGAATGTAAATCTAATTCAATTTTAATGTAAAGTAAAGAAATTATATAGGTTTCTAAGTTAAAACTGGTTTTGTTAAAATTAATAATCCATCGGCTGCTTTATTATTATTTTTTTCAATGCTTTGGACGAACAATTACATTGTTTGCTTCTTGTAACCTTATTGAGCAAGTGTGTACTCATTCAAATTATTATTTCAGCCTTTCAAATTAGAATATTCGGGACTCTACTCCCGAACAGTGAGAGATTGCTAAAAGATTTCTTATTTTATTTAGATAGAATTTAAGGTTAATCATTTCTTTTCGCTGTTAGTACTTATTTTGGAATGTAAAGAAGCCTCATGGATATTATAGAGTGAGACTAAATATGCAAGAGATATAATTTCTATCTTAATTAGCGGTGACTAATTATTATATATTCATTGATCCTATCGATTTGGGAATCGTGAGTGTATGTTCAATACTTTAAAATAGGTCGGGTTGTTACAATTGAGCTCTTTTATATAGTTATATATAGATCTCGAAATGACTTGGATGCATGGATTGTATCTCGAATTTTGTGGCCTCCCACCACTTATTCAACTAGATACTTGTTATCACCTCAATGTATGTTGTTGCCTCATTGTATTCTCATAAGCTTCATAAATCTTTTCAAATGAGGAATCTATAATATATTTTAAGTGGTTTAGATTCTCAAAAGGACCTTGCAACTACTATACATATAATTCTTTAATCTTAATAGTGGGTGGATCTTCTATTAAGACTAATATTTGAGAATTCTCTGAAACTTCATAAAGTTTAAGTTCACTTCTACTCATCTTATTTTGAATTAATTGTTCTTTTTTTTAAAAAAAAAATTGGATGCAATGTTGAATACAAATATCATTTTAGTCTTGTTCATCATAAAGGTAATATCCAAAACTCTCATTTTAGTATTTTAAAAATAAACATCTAAGACACTTAGTTTGAGTTTCTACCATATATCTACTTTTTATAAGTGATATATCCTCAATATGTTAGCTCTTTTAAAATTTAATAATCCATCATAATACATATCATGTAGTGTCTTTGGCGTTGCCTTTCTAGGGACTATATTTAATATGTAGAAAGTGGTTATTATTTTATAGCCCAAAACCAAAATATATAATATTTCATATCTAATCATGAATTGTATGAAGTCCACAATTTCTCCTATTTGGCCTTCTATTTAACTAGAGCTAGCAAAAAATGTCCGGAGTGAGAGAATTTTATTATGCCTCAATAAATCCAAGAATTCATTATTTAAATGCTTTTATCCTTGATTAGACAAAAAGGTTTTAATACTTCTTCTAGTTTGTTTCTTAGTCTCAAGTGCAAACTTCCAGAACCATTTTAAAGATCTAAACTTGCATTTCATAAGTATACATATTCAAAGTTAGAGTACACAACAATAAAGGTCGTAAAGTAAGGGACATCTTCTCGAGCATTCATTGATGTGTGCATAGAAATATGATAAATATCAACTCTTATTAATAATAATGTATTCAATAAACTAACTGTCTGTAATATACAAATAATATTGTCCTATTGATCTTATTATGAGATAGTATAATTATTATTTTCCATAATAATAAATCAATTTTCAAATTTTAATGTTCTATTATTTTGATAAAAATACCTAAATTTACTATAATGATAAATATTTATTAAAGTACACAACAAGAATGTAATAATTGATGATATCATGACAAAGAGACTTATTTATCTAAACATAAATTATAAAAAAACTAGACATAATATCACTATGACACGGACAACCATTGAATCCGAATAGACTAATATGTTATATCCTTTATAAACGAATTATCTCATTGGATATTGATTTGTATGACATCATATCGACCGTATAAACACGTGTTATATAAATAAGTATACTAATAAATTTAAGAATTAAATTCTTTTATTAACTTTCTACCGGGTGAAATAAAAGTTTATACTATAATAATTTCGTAGAATTATTAATTATGTTAAGTTCCACATGAATAGATTGCAAATGAAGATTTATGCTTCAATACTATGAAATTAAGGTTAATTTCATGTGCTTTAATCATACTCGTCACACGCTATGACTTGAACTTGGTAGAGTTATGTGAATAATACTTAAGTATCTAATCATTTTTGAGTTAAAAAGAGGGAAAGTATTTTGTGACAATATATTTAAACATTTCTAAAAATCCATAATAATATAATGAAAGAGGAATTTATTAAAAAGTTTTAAAGATATATATATATATAAATATATATGTATATATATATAAGAGATGTAGATTAGTTATTAAGATTTGACATTAATAAGAATTTAAGATATAATAAATGAAAGAGAGATATGTGCATATTAACTATCCAAACATAATAAAGATTTACTTCAATATCTTCTAGGAACCAACTTGATCAATTGATAGATAAGATCAGTGCAACCATGTTTTGAAATCAATTAGACTCCAATTTGCAAACTTATTGACAGCTATTAACTGAATTCCACAGTTTAACTTTTAACTTTTAAAATGATTGTGTAAAGTGTTAGGGATTAATGTGTCTGAATGATTCTTAAAAATAATTAATCTCAAAATCAAATAATCTGGGCTTATGTAATTTCTTTAAGAAGCTTATGTAATGTATAAATACAATTAAGCTTTATTAAATGACCTTATTAGTTTTAATTGGGCTTAGCCCGAAAGCTTTAACAAATGGATGATTAAATTATTTTGGACCTTAATTTGCGTTAAGGAACTAAATGGTTCAAAGTACTGTATAAGTATAGATTAATCTAAAACCACAAGTCCAGAATACTTTTTTTTTTTTTTTTTTTTTTTTTGGGTTCCAATCTTGTAATATTATTGAACAATTTTAATATGTAAAAAACTATATAGACACTCAAGGCAGGCAGGCATATATATATATATATATATATATATCTATACGTATGTGTATAAATATATGTATATAATTGAACTTTATTGATTTGGTGTTTTCTTTTAGGCTATCCGAGGACTTGGGTTTCATTGCTGGACTCCATTCCAAAGTAAGTTTTGGGCCTCAAAGATAGTCAACCAATAGGCCACGATTGACTCCGTAAAGAAGCCTCACTTACTGGGGGGGGGGGGGGCTGGGCTTCATCCCAAACCAAAACATATAATATATATATATATATGTGTGTGTATGTATATATAACCATTTTAAATTAATTCACCAGAGAGAGAGAGAGAGAGAGAGAGAAACGTAATAATTACAAGACACTGTTTGCTTTGCAGCTAACTTTAATTTCTTTATTAATAATCTAATCCATTCATCCATATAGTTGTTACTACTCTTCATATCCACCTTCATTAAATATATTGTAAACTACAAAAACAATTATAAATTATGTTTTTATATAATTTTAAGCAAGGGTTTCCAGTGTATTTTATTAAATTAAAAAATATATATTTTTTTGTCTATTACATTAGAAATATTAATTACAAGACACTGTTTACTTTTACAATTGGAGACAATCCAATTAATTAATTAACGCTGTCTGAATTCTAATTTAAAAGAAAGTACAAAAATATTTAATATTAACAAGAAGCATTTACCAATGAGAGTGAAGAAAAAAAAAAAGTAAGATTGGAAGTGAATAGTAAAATTCATAATTACCCTAAACTTTAGAGGTAAAGAAAGAGAAAACATAACCAATGGAATTTAACCAAGAGGGTAAAATTTCAAAGTCTACAAGAAGATGCCAAAATTAAAATAATTTAAAAGAGGAAAATGCAAAAATGTTTACAAAAGTGATTTAAAGAGGAATGCTGACAAAAAACGTGGCTTAAAAAAGAGGAAAAGTATGTAATTAAATAATTAGGGAATCACAGCATTATGGTTAAGAAATAGACAAAAAAGATAATCATGATCAAATTTCTTTTCCCTTTTTTTGGATTTTATATGGAGGAACCCACAGCTTACCTCCCATTTCCACAAATCAGATTCACCCTGTCCCTTCCTCTCTCCCTTTATTTATCCATGTCCAGTAGCAGAGATGGAGAAGAAAAGTGTGTGTGTGTGTGTTGAATTGAAATTATCATGGGTGGTAATAACTACAGATTCAAATTGTCAGATATAATACCCAAAGCTACCTGGTTTTACAAACTCAAACAATCTCCTCCCTTCAACACCAAACAAAATTCTTCACCATCAAACCCTAGAAAATCATACTACTTCACTCGTGATCTTAATAATCCTTCATCCATCACCACTCACCTACCAACCAAATCATCTCCTCTCTGTTCCGAAACCTCCATGGATGTTCGCCAGATTTCTAGCGCCGACAACAAATTTGACGAGTCAGGTCAAATATCTCACTCGCAACTCCCTCCGATTATCACCAGGCCGAATGAGAAATTCAAGCAGCGGGAGAACAGGAGGTCGAGCGACTCGAAAACGGATGACGATAATGATGATGGATCGGGAACAGTAAAGGCGACGAGGAAGGAAAAGAAGAGTAGAGCAATGAGGAGGTATGCAGGGGTGAAGGTAAGAGTTCACTCTCCTCGAATTGGGAGTAGAAATCGAGAAATTGAGAATGATGGAGGAGGAGGAAGAAGAAGAAGATTACTGGATAGTTTAGCGATTGTGAAATCGTCGTACGATCCGCAGAAGGATTTCAGAGAATCAATGATGGAGATGATAGTTGAGAACAACATTAGAGCACCGAAGGAGTTGGAGGATTTACTGGCCTGTTATCTTGCTCTGAATTCGGATCAGTATCACAATCTGATTATCAAAGTTTTCAAGCAAATATGGTTTGATCTAAAACAACTTGGCAGCTCAAACTAGATATTATTTTAAAATGTGAAAAATAAATAAAAAAAGTTATTTTACTTTCGTAATAAATTAATTTATATTTGTAAAAATATTAAATTTTAAATTAAAAGTGATGAAAATGAAATAATATTAACCTGCAATCGCATCAACAGAAATTGGGTCCTACCAAATCCAAATCATAAACAAATAATTGTAAATTTTTTTTTTTATATGTATATACATATTATCGGTTTCTGAAGACCATTTGTTCTTCTGAAAATTTAATTTATAATTCGTCTTCAAATCAAATTTTGCTACATGGTATATTATTGTGTGGATGTGATATGATTTCAAAGCATCTGTTTAAAATATAATACACTTCAAAAATGTATGAATCAACACTCTAATATATATATATCAATACCAGACCAGTAGCAGCAGCATCTAAGAAAACAAAGTCGTACCATAATTTAAATTACAAAAATATATACTCTTAAATTTTGAAGAAACATGATTCAATTCAAAAATTTCACTCAAATTTTTCTCCCACCAACTAACTATTTGGGTTCAATCCAAAACTTGAGATTTGATTTCTATGACATTGATTAAACCATTTATGGAATAATAATAATTACATTTAGTTGAAATGTCATTTTATCAGGTCCCACGTGAATCTAATGTTAAAACAACTAAAAAGATTTGTTCCATTAGCCTTAAAATAGACGTCTATATATATATATATATATACGTATACGTACACGGTACATGTCATAGAGTAATTAAGAAAGAACAAAATCTTTCGGGGATTTTATAGTCAAACTCAAATCATTATCTCTACCAAGTTCATTGAACAAGTTCAATAAATTGGAATTATAAAAAAGAAAATATCCAAGTAAATATTATTAGTGCTGTCTAGGCTTGCATTTTGCACAACAATCCCTTAAATTTTCTCCATTAATGCTCCTCCGTATAGGCTTTTGATTTCTTTCCTACTTCCCATTTTGAAATTGATCTTTTGCCTACCCATTTCATACACCATATTATTTTAGTTTTTTATTTTATAGATTTAATAAACTTATATTGCAATTACTTTTTAGAGTAATGTGATAAAATATTTTTATCATTTTAAATTTATTGTAAATCATAGATTAGATTATAATCTTGGGATTGAATGTTTTACTATATCAAAATTTCACTTTAATTGCATTTAATAAACATTTATATCGTATACTTAAAAGTTAAAAATTCACTAATTATTTTGAGATTTCATATATACTTGCATTGAACATTTTATATTTTACAATTGGAAAACTTAACTAATAAAAAAGAAACAAAATATAAATATGTGTAATTAAAGATAAATACCAAGAAATTGTTTACTATCTAAACTCTATCGAGTATGAAATTAAGCAAGTCTCACCTTAAATAAAAAATAATATCAAGAATACTCTTTATTTAAAATCAAATAATCTCGAAAAACCATTCAATCAAAAATATTGTCAAAAATTCAACAAAAATCAAATTGCTTGGATCGAAACAAGTTCGCTATTGA